TCACATTACGTACGAGCGTCGAATGTTTGATGTACCGAAGTTCTGAACTGTTCAAATAATCTATCTATATGTGTATTATCCACGCAATTTCAATTCAGTCCGCGGTCTACGGTCACTGCAAATACGAAAGCCTGGTCATTCGAAGCGGTTAGATACACATAAGTACGGTCGCCAAATAAAACTTCAAATCTCTATTCCTAATAATAAAAAAATATATATTTTTATATCAATTTTAAATCTAAATTACCGAAGTAAGATCATTTTATGTTGCTGCAAATTAATATTTAATTCTACATTATATTTTTGAATTTATTCTCAAACACTCTCCAGAAACAATCTTTTTATTACTATTTTAATGAAAATTTCTATAGAATCTACATAAATACGAAATATATGAACTGCTTCTTCTATTACTAAGTCGTCATACTCATATGAAATAGTTTATTAATATCATATATATTCAGATTCATACATATTTATTTGCTGTCCCTACCCAGAGATCAATAAAGTCACATCCCAATAATGTGTTTGCGCGGTTAGTTTTATCGACAGTGGTGCATGTGTCTCATTAAATTCATAAACAACGTAGAATTAACCCATTGGGATAATATGAAGATAGCTAAGCTCGGAATACATAAAGCTCAACTAAATATTCCAGTTTCGTGCTCTCTTTGTATTGCTGCGACAATTCAGAGTAATATTTAGATTAGAAAAATATTTTATGCTCAGTGGTCTACGTGCTGTTATAGAATTATTCTGAAATATTTTTTCATAATTTCATTGTTATTATTTCTTATATCTAGTGACTTTTAAGTTAACTAAGATTCGATCGAGTTTTTCTTTGTTTCGAATAAACAATGACGGAAATGCGCTTGGTTGAGTTGATTTGATGAAGTTTTCCTGAAATCTATTACTGTTGTTTAACATTGTAATGGAATTTGTTAATGTATATAGAAAGCTATATAACAAAAGATATTGCAATATAATTAAAATGAGTATACTTATTTATGTATCATAATAACAATATTCTAATTTGAGAACAACACAAAAATATCAATCTAATATTTTTTCAACACAACCAAAAAGAAAGGACGAACATAAAAAAACATTCGTTTATGTTTTATACATATGCAAAATAACAATAACTTATGTTAAAAAAACACAATGTTAATATTAGAAGTATTAACAGCCACAGGTTAAACCACCAATTCATAAGGACGACTAAGCAAGGCTCAGCATAAACAAATAATTGCTCAAATGACGTGTGAGTTTAGTTTAGATTTTAAAAGGTTTCCGTATCAAATGTCTTCGGCTTACTTTTGGGACGCACATTTCATATCCGAAGATACCGGATATGAGAAAAATATAAGTTAAATAAGGTTTTTTCCTTGATCTAATTACTTGGTTCTGCTCCTGAAATTGCTCGCATGAATTTATAATATTGCAATATTTATTTCATATTTTGGTTACAGTTCATAATATTTGATTTTTAATACAACCCGCTTTATCTGTACTCGACAATGGTAGGAAGGTGGTGTGTAGATTATTCATGTGAAAAATAACCAACATTTCTTTTTATATTATAGGGAAGTAGAAAAATCCTTTACAATTCGAGAAAAGGTTTTTACATGAGTAAAAATAGCATGTGTACTTGAAAGGGTCGTATTTAAATAAATACTGTGAAAGTTGAAAGGGACGAAAGTAACGTTAACGACACCTTCAACGCTATCCGAATTTCACAGATTGACGACAAACTTAGGCAGCTATTCAAAGATAAGTTATATAGCGAGCAATTACAGGATTTGGAACTGAAGTGGATCGAGCTGGTCTGGAAAAGACAATACTTTTTACAGTACAAATCAATATCCTAAAACTGTCATCAAATTTTTCCTTAGTACCTACCATTGGTAGTTAATTTTGTTTCCATAACTGCAAAAAAACTGGCAACTGCATGTAATAAATTATTTTACCTTCAATAACGTTTCTACTTTCGATTCTAAATGGAATTTTATCGTGACATTAGTTTTATTACAAAAAGTTTATTCTTTATCGATACTTCTAGATGCTTTGTATGTAGTAGGGTCGCCAACTTGGGTGGTCAAACCCCACCCGCTCCTGCCGCTCCCCCTCTCAGCGATGGGCTCTATCGCTTGATTAATACAAAGTTGTCCATTATTATAATTGAGGTATCCGAGTTTGTCGATTTGTTCTAATTGATAATTTCGTCTCGGCTTTGTCACAATCGATAGCACTTTAAAATTTCGGAAAGTCGATTCAGAGTTCCGAATTTGTTCTAAAATTTGTTAACCTCTCCTAATGGGGTGCTATTTTGGTGTCATTTTGTGGTTATAGAATTGACACTTAGAAACTCTTGATTAAGAAAAATAGAGACAAATGAATAGTAACGTATGGTAATGCTAGTAATATTTACTGCAGTCATTATTGAATACGGTGTATAAATTAGCAGATGGTTTATAAAAAAAGTGATGTATGTAGCTCGACCTGTTAGCAGGAAGTATGGTTGACGGCCTGCGCACGCTTCAGCGGCCATTTTGTTCTTGCTAATTAAATAAACTGACGCGTGGACAAAGGTTTATTGCTCGGGACTTTCATTTTTTATGAGGGGATTGTGCTGTGTTTATAAATTAAGTTTTAATAATTGTTCTTGTTTAGGTTTTAAATACAATTCACGTATATACTTTAATGGTATATAATTTTTCATATTTTTATTAATATTTCTTTGTTTAAAAATTATTCCCAATAACAAAAAGAAGAACTTAGGTCTTAAATCTCTAACAGAAACAATGATTTTTACGAATAAAAAGTAAAGTGCCAATTTAAATTCCAAAAGTTTAGGGTCTTAAACTGTCTCAACTCCTAGCATAATCACTAGGCGAAGATAAAACAAGAGTAACTTCAATGAAAAACTATGCGATGATAGCGGAGACAGAGACCAAACACACTTATACGAATTTTTTTTTGAAGTAATCGTTGTAAAAATTATAATGCCTTTTAATAAATAAAATATATTTTATTAATGAACATCCCTCAATGAACACAATATGATTATGTCAAAACTGGAGTCATTACTTCAATAGTGATACAACTGTATTGTACCTAATTAACATAAAACATATATATGTATAGTTGATTACGTATAAGTGTGAAACCTCCCATTACCGCTGAGGTTTGAAAATTCCCGGATCGAAAAGGAAATGAAGAGAAGTTTTGCTCCAATTTGCCGGCCGCGAAACTTCGGCCCGGGGAAATTAACTGGCTGGATACTTCCCCGGATTATCTTTATTTATCTTCGGCTCAGTATCGTTGTAATTAGGTTTTTTGGGTCCCAGTCTCGTAATGGTTCCGAATTTTTGTCAACGTTTATCGGGATCGCCTTAATGAACTTGTTCCATCCATATTTGTTCCGTTGCTATATTTTATTATATCAATGGATTGAATTGTCTTGATTGTGGATATTTATGGTTATAAGTATAAAAAAATAAAGTATGAAAATTATAATTTGATAATATATCAATTTCACTGTAAGTAAAACTTAAATGAAGTAGTTTCAAACATAATGAAGGAAAGTAAACGCTTTTCTCACAGTCACTATTGTTTCTTCACACTAGAATGATGCGCACGCGCCGTTACAGTCGTTGGTTCGACATCAAGATAAACAAGTTCATTGAAAAGGTTATGCTTTTTAGTACTAATTGTATAATTACAAACGAGGAATAATGAATTATTGATGTACGAGGAATAATGAATTATTGTTTACATTTGAATAGAACTGTTATTTTCAAATTTAATTCTCGATTTTATTATATTGCATTTTAACGTAATTTTAAATTAATTGTGATCAGACGTCTGATAGATAAAATGAAAGATCTGTCTTTGAGTGAGAAAAAATTAATAATTTTATTTAAATAATATATACTTCTAAACTTAAGATAAATTCAAAATTAGGTGATTATTATACTCCACGTTATAAGTATTATAATTTCTATAATTAGTGTTTTATATCACGTGTTTAAGTAATCCCTTTTATTCGTAACTTTTATACTCTGATATATAATTGTATTATTCTTATATATTTCATATTAACGATATTAAAAGGAAATGATATAAAAGCTAACGTACGTAATTACTCTCCGAGAACCACATGTAGCTTGTCTATATTAGCAATGGAGGACATCAAAATTATACGCATTATATTTTATCATGAAAATAATTACTGTTACTTAAAATATTTGAGACAAGTTATTTATATTGTTTCTTAATAATTATATTAAATAAATTTTAATAAGCTTGATTTGTTTTAAAAAATTTTAACCAGAAATTGATGGCATATAATGTAAAAATGTTATTTATATGATATATATATTTTCTCGTAACTCAATGTTAAGACCTTTAACGATGCGAAAGTTCCATGTCTTTGAGCGCTCGTTAGCCGTTCTTACATTTATTAGTGTAGTTTTTCTTAACGAATTTTGTTGGTACTTTTAATGGTCGGTCATGTAAGAAAATAACTAGGTCCGTGTATTTGGCAGGTTTATGTAGAATTATCTCGTTAGCAATACGTTTGCTTAGATTTGTTCCGACCTGACATATAAAGAGAATAGATATATTATATTAATAAAGCCAAGTCACAAAGTCTTATTGAGTTATTCTTTGGAAGGAATTGTATTATCATGCGGGACAATGCTGTACGATGTTATTGCTTTATAACATTATTGTTATCTGAAGTATCAGACTGAAATAACTATTGAATATTTTAAATTGAATGTATTCAAATTTAATTATATTCAATAATAAACCACGTAGTAGCTTCCTAGCTTCCTTTGTTTCACTAGGCTAATGTACAGCTCAATATAATAGCTACTCGTATCTGCAAGACTGGCTTGCACCGACCGCGACAGAAAGGTCGGCGTGACCTTTGTTCACGACAACCCCTCATCAATGTCAACCAAAACAAGTGTTCATGATGTGACTCATTTGATATGACGACTGTTAAGATTAACTGTCACATTACAATTATTCACCCTAATGTACGCGTGCATACGTTTTTATATTATTACTTTAGAATAAAATGACTAACCAAGTTCAATACAAAAAAAAAGTTTACACTTAAAAGAATGCTTTAAATTTTGTAGAATTTTATAATGAATAATCTTGTACCCTTTTAAGTGGTTCTAAAGCTTGTACCAATTAATGTAATCGAAGCCAGACACTAGTACGGTTATAGAACAAAGAAAGTAATTTAGAATGTAATTGCATTTGTCGGAAATCGCATTCCCACGAGAAGTGAACCCAAACAGGAATGGTTCTGAACTCCGATCTGGTGTCGGAAGGACTTTTGAAAACCTTAACGATCGACGGATTGAGCGGTTAGCCAGTGGCATCGACACACGCTTAATACATCGCAGCTTGACCACAAGCACTTAGTAGTATTTTTAAATGAAATTTCTACTGTAGTATCATATTAAACCTTTGACTTTGAATACTTATTCATAAATTAAATTTAATAGTTTTTTTTTAGAAATATGGAACCACGAATAATATTGTTCTCGTATCTTGAAATATTTGAAGTGTGTTTATATTTTATTTCCCAATGATAAATTTAATTAATTATTTCTGTTTGTAATGAAAATGACATAAGATGGTCAGTAATCGTAATGTAATCGATACCATTGTATAACAGCACTCTTCGTGAGTTTGCAGTAAGCGGAGTGCAATTGGCCGGCCATCGAACCTGAGTAAACCAACGCTTGCTTTTTATTATATGCATTCCCCAGTTAAATGGAATTGCATAAGAACCGTGCTGTTTTTATATGGGTCATTTGTACACTGACCTACACTTAGATTTCCATATATTATTGAAGTACAGAGGTGTTTATTATTATCTAAGAAAAACAGTAAAATAAGTTTGTTATGTATACATAATATATAAAAAGAAATAGATCTTAATTGTTTTAATTATAAACTTATGTGAAAACGTTGTGAAACAAATAAACTAAGATTCTCTAAATCATGTTAAGTAATAAATCACGGAACTTCTGATTCTATTCACACGAAACTGATGAACAAAATAGAATTTATACGCCAGCAAACTTACCCGGAGCTGACTCATACTAACAAGTAATTCTATTATCAGAAATATTCGCAAACTCTCAACTATAACACGATTAAGTTGTTTTAATTGCGGCACTTGTGAACAAACAGCGGAGCTCCCAGCGACCTCGATTCTTCTATGACAACTTTGAGAGGTTTCTGACCGGACTATGCACTATATTAAAATAAAATATGTTACAAGTTCTTCATTAATTATCTTTTTATTTCAAGTCGACGCTTCTACCACTCTCGTAATTTCTACAGACAGTTTTATATTCAATATGTTCTCTAATCATTACTAATGGTATTAGTATTCTCTAGAAAAATTATTTGCTTGCGCTACTCCTATATGTTTATTTGTTTTTATTTATTCAATACAAGCTTTTCATTACTTCATGGTATGTCCGTCGGCTTACTTAGGGCAAATACACTTGAATAAAATGGAATAACGACCCGCCTCCACAAGACCCCAATCAAGGGAAAAACTGCATTCTCACCCAGTGAATGCCGATAATAGCTATTACTAGCCCCAGCTTATCTACCGTAACGTATAAAAATATATTAAAACAGACAGACATATTGTACTACCTACTATGAGGGTAATGTTTTGAAAATATTTAGGGGAATATTAATATGTTTACTTAACGTGGAGATAGGTTTAATTCAGAAAAAATATTTGTGTTAAATTTTAAATTTAGTCTGCTAGAACAATTTTGAGATCTAAGACTTGCGCGAGTATTCATTTAAATGGAACTAATATTTTTCGGATTCAAATCTCGTCTGCCCGTGATCACGGTTGCTGAAAAATAACCGAAACGTCGAGAATATGTAGTTTTTACAATAATAAAAACCGTAGTATAATACGAATAATATTATTTTTATTTAGAAAAATTCTGTTTTACTAATAACTTCTTAAATTAAATTGTTTTAAATTACTTACCTTTAGTTTTTATAGAATTCTAAAGTGAAATCAACACCTAGGCACATTGTATTTAAAATTTCTTTGTATTAAATGAACATAGATTATTATTTTTGTTTGAGCGTTGCTTTTGTGTATATTTTAAATATGTATATTTTGTTACAGGGTAAAGCTAAACGCGACCAATCTCTGGAGGAGCTCAAGGAACACATACATAAATATTACATACCTCTCGGCCGGCAATTTATGGTGTTGTTTCCAGAAGGTGGCTTCCTACATAAGAGGAAAGAAATTAGTCAGAGGTAATTGTATAATTATACTATACATTGTTACAATGGAAAATATAAATATACAGAATTCAGCTAACATTAGGCATTTACATTCTGAGTTTATGCATGCATTTCGTGTAAATATATAATTAAAACAACAAATTAGGCATTTATATTCATACATTTCGGTTCATACCTTATAACTATGGGAGAAATTAGATGTGCTTATGATAAATTTTAAATGAATTCATCATCATAAGAATAGAATATTTTATATTTCTTAAATTCTATCGATATCGGCAAAATATTTCTGATTCCCATCGTGTTCACAGAACGTATATAAAATGTTGTTTCTTAGAAGTACAATAGATAGATAGACGCCACTTTGAAATAACGAGCGCCGACATCCGTTAAATTGGTCCTTGTAAATAATACTGAATTAAACTTGGTCTTGCCATACGTTGGCAATGTATTGCAGAAAGTATTTTTATTCGGAACATGTTATCTGACTTTTGAAACTTGATGAATAGTATTGAATGATTGAACTGTAATTTTTTTTTCTATGTACTATGAATTGTTTGCTTTTAATATTATTGTGAAGTTTATATTATATATTTATAAGCTTCGTTAGTTGTTTTCACAGCTATATTTGTTAGTTAAAATTTTGAATACACTGTTAGTAATTAAATGTTAGCTTAGTATCTCGAAACAGAGACAATTTCGATAGTTATATTATTGTTATATCGTATTTATCAAGAATGATATATTTGTTAGTTCTGAAATGTTTTCATATTTTAAAGATTCGCTGAGAAAAATAATCTACCAAAGTTAGAGTACGTTTCTTTGCCTCGAGCCGGAGCTATGAAGGTGATTATGGAAGAAATTGGTCCCCGGTACGACCAAGCCGGTACATCCAAGGATAACAAGAAAGGTAATAAAGAATATCTATCTCAGTTTTATTTAATAATACGAATATATAATAGTCGCTACCTGACTTAAATTTAACGCTACGATAATATTTTTTGTAGTGAGAATATGTATGATTTAATTTTAAAGTCTGGTGGATGTGAGGAATGCTTATGAGTTAGATGAAACTGAGTGTACGAGGAAGTTAGGAGATAATCAACGGACCAGCTCTTGAGTAACTTGGGAATCCTAATTGGCATCTCAACCACTGCATCACATTTAAAATTGTTACTTATTTATGGGTTACTTTTTATCCAAAGTTGTAATAACACAAGTAATTATTAAATACAATGTAACCCAGTTGTTCTACATCACATTTCCTCCTATACATAAAGTACTTTTAAGTAAATAAAATAAATTTGTTCCGGCTATACATGCATTTGATGGCATTTATTTCGAACTTTGAAATCACAAACAGGTATCGAAATTTCATTGCTATGTGTATATGTATCTGTATTTATAATGTCTTCCGTAGATGACTTCAATCAGAACAGCACAAAGAGCTCAAAGGCTGATGCGATCGAGTGGATCCTAGATGTCACTATAGCATATCCGGATCGTGTTCCAATTCATTTGCAAGACATCGTTTGTGGCATACGACCACCCTGCACCACACATTTGTATTACAGACTGTATCCAAGCAGCGAGGTTTGTGTGGACTTTCATAACCAAAACATTTATTAGAAATAGACGATAGCATATTCACTAACTAAATTGAAGCATACAGATGTATTGTAGTTAATATTTGATTGAGATACATGGTAGGTCATGATTACTGCCAAATAACAAGTAAAAATAAAAGTAAGATAAACGAAGCAAGGTCAAATAACATAGTTTAATGTCAATAATAGGAATTTATTGCCAATAAATAAATCTTTTAAATAAATAAGAAATTTTCAAATAGAATTGATAACATCTCGTTAGAATCGTATCGTTGTACATCAACAATACGAAGACTCAAAAGGGACTAGGTCCTAAAAAGAGGCAATATAGGTTTTGGCAACGCTGAGGTTTGGTAACATGCCAAACGTTTATTGCATGGAAAATAATGATTAGATAATCTGTCATCGATATATTTACAGTCTAGAGTTTGAAATATTATTTTATATATTAGAAAAATTTTAGTTGTTGTCTATTATTAAACATTTTCTTCTTGAATTTTCTATAAGATGACGGACGTTAGGATTATGAATAGAAGTGTTATGCGTCTGAAACGTCGTTTTGATTCACAGGTACCGTCAGACAATGAAGAGTTGACTCAATGGCTGTACGATAGATTTATAGAGAAGGATAAAATGCTCGAAGAGTATTACCGTACAGGAAAGTTTCCATCTAAAGGCAGTATCTCCGAAGTACCGAGGCAAGTGAGACAGGATAACCTGCGCTATCTCATACTTCATTTATTTTTCATAGCTTCGACTTTCATACAATATAAAATGTTTTGCGAATTGTGGAGCTACTTCTGGTAAGAACGGAACCGACCAAGTGAACTATACTCATCTTAATATCATCAACTTTATCGTTAAATATTGTCCAATATTTGGTATTGGATAATATTTTGTTCAAACATAATATCTTTCATGATACTATTAAGGTTTTTTTGTCAATGTCAATGGGCCATATTATGATGTAGCTTAAACTTATTTAGTGCTTTATTTTAAGTGTTTTTTTTTATGTTTTTTTGCCTTGGGTTTAAAAGGAATCTGTTCGATTTCGCAGCTTAAGTACATGTCATATAATAGGGTTTCTCTTAGCTTAATATGAAATGTTACCTATAACTAGTATTGACGTGTCGGGAGCGTCCGATGTATTTTTTAAAACTACCAAAAGCACTTTGTGTTAGTGAGAATTTTTTTGTTTAATTGTTGTGTGAAAAATCAAAGAGTGCTGTGACAATCAAGTCAATATGTAAGTACTTCTTAATATAGGCATAGGTTTTGTGCTCTGCGTAATACCAAAATTTTTTTGAATTTCCTACAAGATATTCGACTACTAATGAAGTGCTAATGAGTTTGTTTTAATATTTTTATTTTTATAATAAAAGAAATGAATCACCAACTTATCATTTTATATAATAACGAACTATTCTAAACGTCTTTCAAATATTGACGTTAATGGCACTCGCATCGCCGTTTGAGTTTTCTAGACGTGTCAGCTCTTCTATGAAAGTAGTCGAAAATCACGTTTCACATTCTATTTAATAAAGTTCCCACTTTTAAAATAAAATCGTATTTTACACAAAGGATTTTTCAGGAGTTTTACGCTATCAGAATACTAAATTATCCGTTAAGCGTTAACTTATCTGTGCTGTCATTGAGAGTTCTTGATCATTGATAAATCTAAATTAGATTAAGTCACGATACATTTTACACATAGTTTAAGTATCAAATACGTTCCTTATGGAGCGTTATTTTTCATTAGGTTTTAATGTACATTTTATATGTTAGGTTTTTGTGGTACAGAAAAAAAATATGCCAAAAGATAGTACGTCTGCCGGAAGTGCCTGGGCTTTATGGTAAAAGGCTTATTAAAAATATGTAAAAAGAAAATATAGACAGAACTTCATTTCGTGGTTGTGTGAACGAGATAGATATATATCTGATCTCTCATTCTTTCATATCTTTAACTTGTATGATTATATTATAATTAATATATATGATGAATATTTCAGCTTCTATATATCTTTTTATATAATTTTAGATTGTATAAGTCCAATCAGCTATGAGCTTTGTTGTATATGTACGCCGAAACGAGGCGTATCAAGAGTACCGTACTTAAATGTTAGTATTTGAAGGAATACCAAATAATTTAACTAACTTTACATACGTCTATTATCCCATAACAAATTAAAATAATGCTTGGGTTGGGTTTAAACCTTATTATTAATAACATAAATCATTTATTGGTTTGACCAAAACATATCACTATAATATCATTTATGTATATAAAACTCAAGTCCAATTAAGTTCCTTTGTCCGAAACTGTGCCTTGTATTTATTTGAATTAATCAAAAAAATAATACCAAATAGTAAATTAAAATTATAATAATTTTTCACTATGAATACCGTTACCGAAGTGAAAAGAAATGTAAACACAGATTATATAAAAAAAATATCGAAAAATTCATTTAAATGAATTTTGCATTAAGATATAAATTTACTTTAATATATAAAAAATATATAAAATTCATTTGAATATTTTCATTTCTGTTGCTACGTATAAATGTTATAATTTTTATATATAGTGGTATGAGTATAAAAACAACTAACAGTATGATAATGCATTTACTAATAGAAAAACTGGTTTTTTCCCTTTAATTATTTCCTTCGTGTCCGTTACGATAGAATAGCAAGAATTTACAAAAAATAAACATTATTTTTATTATAATGTTAGGAATTCTGTAGGCTTTTTTTTATATCTAGTAAAAAATATAACGAATTTAAAATTTATGTTCATTTAATACATTTACGTGTTGATCGTCTCAAAATGTAATGATTTTGTCAAAGCAAATTTTCCACCGTTTGAGCCACTAAGTGTTTTACCTCAATATAATTATATAGTAACTTTTATAAAGATAAAAAAAAACACTATCACCAACTTCGTAAGATTTCTTAAGAATTATACATATAAGTTTTCTCTACAACATTTTTGTATTCAGTTAGTATAAGCAGTTTTTATTTCATTTTTTTTTAAGTTACTTTATGCGATACAAGTAAAACTTGTTATGGGGTTCTGTATTGTGATTTCGCGATCAATACAACATAGGAAATAGTGGTAATTTTATACATTAATTTTCATAGTACGGAACCCGTATCTCAATGCCTGTTGTGTTTCTATATTAATCATCTTAATTTTGTTGTTGTTTTATGTTAAGTTTGTCATTTTTAGTTGTAGGTTTGACTGGGTGTGTGTGATTTTTGCTTTTTTTCAATTATTTGCCTTTACAAACATTGTTTGAAATTTTCATTACGATTAAGGCAAAGCAGGGGTTTAATGTAGTTTTATTTTATCGATTCATGGTTCATTGGGTCATGTTGTAATATTGCTATGATTTATAAGTTAATTTTGTCCCTATTACATTTACTATAGTTGTAGGATTTAATTGTAATTTGGTGGATAAATATGAATTCGATGTTTGCAATAAGTTACATTCTGAACATGTATATTACATAAACTTTTCAGCTGTCATGAAATTATTTAGAGATTACAGTGTATTGTACATCGTCGTATAAATAGGTTACATTTTTGTACTGTTTACATCAAATCGCAGTCAATACATTGACCTGTATTGCAATTGTATCCATCATATTCGAACAGTTTTTGTCTGTATGAGTTGTGTACTGATTGTAAATAGATTAAGGGCCTTGCTCTACGGTTTATGAATAAAGCACATTGCGGCACGTGATTTTTGTTTAATTTCTATCCTCACCTCTACAAGAATATTTTAGAACATTATTATAAATTAACTAGTGTACTTGACAGGGCTTTTCATGTTATGTCAAAGATATCATTCAGACTAAAAAGTAATATATATAGTTTGTTTTTAAAATCATACATTATAGATGCCAAAAATAAAGTCCTTATTTCAAACTAATTATAGCAAAAAATAATTCGACACTGTAAGATTATGATATCTTCGTAAACGATATTGAAGAGGCTCGATCTATCTGAACAACTGACAGACAACTGTCAAACAACTGACAGCTATTTAAAATAAGCTCGGCAAAAAATATATTGAAAAATGTTTATAATGAAGGTAATTGATGTTTCTTTAAACTTTATATTTTCTATACATATCTTTTTTAATTTTTCTTTTGTAAGAACAAACAAAAAAGTACTTGTGAAATTGGTCCAGCCATTCAATCGTGATGGTGTGACCAAAGGAAATATGGTTTCATATATCTTTATATATATAATTCTTCTGTGAGTGTGTATGTCACTGAACTTCTCTTAAACAACATGACCGATTTTGATGAATTTTTTTGTGTGTGTTCAAGGGGATCTGGGAATGGTTTAGATTCACAATTCGGACAAAATGGACAATATATTTTTAATAAATTTTTAATTTATTAGTAGTTGTTAATACAAACTTTTTTTTTTGACATTAGATTTGACAATTAACTAATATGTCAATCATTCTGTCGCACTTCAAAACACGGAGATTTATGGATTTAATAGGTAAACTCCAAAAATATAAATAAAAAACGTAACAGATATTTCTTGATTATAGGACGATACGAAGTTCGCCGGGTCTTCTAGTATATATATAGTTTTTGAGCGCGGTATCCTATGTCCAACTCCTGGTTTTAAGATAGCTCCTCACCAATCGTCAGCGAAATCCGTATAGCAGTTCTTGAGCTATCAACACGACCTCTTTTTAAGTATATAAACAATAACTCTCCTGTTACTTAAATCGACTTCAAAGATTGTTTCCATGTAGGTAACGATAATTTTGGTTCTCACAAAAGAAATAAATCTCAGAGTTCTTTATATTCGGCATCACGCGCCGATGTTTGAAGACAACATATTTCTATGGAAATATAAAATAAATAGGCTGCCCCTGAAATTTATTGAACAACGTTGGTGAACCACAACGGTTGAGAAATCTTATTTATTTCGAAACACGATAAAAACAACACCAAATTTTACTTGATTTGTTTTTATTGGAAAGTCAACACTTATTCTATATTCTCAAGTATTCAATAATACACAGAATTGTTATTGTTTAATGTATATTTTCAATTTTATTATTGGCACTAACCTTTTGTTATGGCTAATGAATTTATTTGGTAATAAAGCAACTTGTACTTTATCAATAAGTTGGTACATATACTAATTGATGTAAACCTGCCTTGTTATTGAACTTAAAAAGGCATATAACATGCAATACATATCATCAAATTAAAATTATAAGCGTGATGTATTGCCATAAGATTTTTGACGAGTATTAAGAAAAATAAGAGATTTATAATTCACTTAATGTCAGAGTTAAAGTAATGGTTCGTTCAAATATTGTGTGACATTAACAGAGAGGCGGCAAAAAGGAGGCACGAATTTCTCATCTGACAAAAGCGGGTATTTAAATAACGCCCGAAATTGAAGATCAAAAAACCGACAAATGGATTCCATCTCATTTGTATTTAATCCAATATGAGAGCACATCCTAAACGTCTGCAAAATATTGGAGAGAACTGAAAATCGCCTTTCAACCTGTAAATAACATTTCAGCGGCGCAAAAATATATAACGCCCGACAACACGTGTCGCTACTTCAAAACAGAAACCAAGATGTCTTTAAGATCTGGATGAGACAACTTGAGACCTCTAATATTATGTTTTTACTGAAAGATATTATAAACATATATAATCATTTCGTGAGACCATACTTATATAAAACTATTATTATTGTTAATACTACTTATCATACGACCTTAAAATACGACGTGTGAAGTACGGCCTTGCTCTACCCAGTACTTCAAGTCTTTTAAAGGCTAGTTTCGCCTTATCCTTCAAATGTCTCTGAAATTGACCATCGTTCGCTATATCAACACCAAAGATCGGAATATTCTGATTGATCTTAAAGGAAATGTTCTGGAATGTTTGAACTACAGTAAATGGGGTCTTTTAGTTTTAATTGCGTAAACTTCCGTGTTCTTGGGATTAAACTAAATTAGATTCAGCTTACCCTATTCGGAGATCTGCTGAGCTTTCAATTTCAGACACAAGTCTCTTTCTGCACGCTTCTAGTTGCTCATGAGGAATATTTTGCAAACGTCACAACTTCCGCAAATCATCAAATTTTGCTGGACAATGGCATTGCAATTGATATTTTGATAAATGCTTATAGATTTTAACATAGCACAAAATTCTACATTAACATAAATTACTTTTTATAGCAGGATATTGTTTCATTTCCAGTAATTATATGTTGTTGTTGTATGTAGGTAAAGCCTTCAACAGGAGCCGATTATATACGGACAAAAGGAAAACTGTATTGAAGTTTGTTTTTATATTAAGCTAAATGTTATTTTATTATTGCTTTTCTGTCATTCTTTGATGAAATTGAGTTTCGAAAGCACTTATCGGCTGGTAGAAATAAAGAAATATACTTTTTATTTGAAGAATTTGAAATATACAATCGTTAAAAGAGATGGAAAAAACAAAAAACAGAATCGATTAAGATTATTATTAAATATCTTTCAACAAATAAATATTCTTGCTTAATATTGAAATACACTTAAGATCGCTTGATGCTTGTTATTTGATATCAGAAATTGGTTCTAATTGGATAGAACACAAATCGTCATACAAGTACGTCTTAGTACTAAACTATTTTTTATATTTATTATAATTATAATTGTTTCCATACATATTACATGATTGACATAAAATGTTTCGTATAAATACACGAACCGAAGTCATTACCATTCTTTTTGTTATGAATGACAATAATTATTTATAAAAACAATAATTATGTTAGTATGATAACATTATTCCAAAATGTATTCACGCAAAGATATATTCTGAATGTAATTGACTTGGACATAAAGATTAGGAGAATAAAACTGAGGGTCACTACACTGTGACATATGGAGTGCCGTGAATAATTAAGTTAACGTGTGACAAGTAATAATAGAGAACGTTAAGCTCGCAAGCTGTTTCGAGCTATTAAGCTGTGTATGAAGTACATAATAATTGCTTTTATGAATGCTATGAATTGTTTTTCATATACAATAGAGTCCTTTGTGATCGCCGTATATGATAGTTTATAAGTGATGTTCAACATAATACATACATAAATTGAAACAAATTTATTTTAAATTTATGAGATAGGTATATTTAATTCTCCATTGAAAAAAAAAACGAAATAGAGAATTCAAATATCTTGATATATTTTAATGGTTGTCTAAAGTTTATAGGTGTTTTTTTATAGAAAAAGAATTAATTTGTATTTGCTTTTGTTGTCATGCTGATTTTTCTATTAAGTAGGGAGTTAACTGAGAGATGTAGCAGTTTTTGTCACGCATTTGGTCGTTGAAGTATAAAACATATTATAATTTTTCCGTCCGCGATACGCTTGCAAGCGAAAATTACAATTGATTGCGCATATGTTTATTTAAGCGACAAGCGTAAAAATGTATGACGCTTAGACGCACAACTCATGAGCGAATAAGCGTAAAATTTGTATGTTAAACAATATAAATATACATGAAGTATATACTTTATGAAGATGAAATATTGTATTATGTTTTGATTTTTTATGTTTATCAGTTTGAAATGAGTACATCTTTATCTTTAATTAAAAAATTTAAACATACAAAGATGAAATAGAAATGTTACCTTGTTATAGATATATTTATGAATTTCGAATAACTCTTTAGATAGTACATAAGTAGCTAAAGAAAAAGGTTGCTGTTTAAATGATAAGCAAGGATATTAGAGTCTTTTTTTAAATGACAAGTTTACCCGACCTGAAGTTATACGTGATTTTCATAAGAAATTACCCAATTTATGGGATATTTTTTACTAATTTAAAGAAAAATAAATGTTATATAAGTTTTAAATGGTCTTTTTTTTTTAGGAAAGTATATTTTACAATATTTAAATTTTCAAATTTTTTTTATATATTCATTGCAAAGCTTGCAAGTTTGAATATTTTCCTTATTCAAATGAGCCTCTATTTATTATCTTAGTAATTTTACAATTTCAGAGTGACTTTATAATATTTACTGCGAAAATCTAAGGTTCTAAAGGTTAGGCATGAAAAATATCAAGACAACGAAGAAGACATTTAGAAAATGTAAGAAAATTTAGCTACATTTAGATAATTTTAGTCTGTAATTTTTATCCAAGCATTTTATATATATCTTTTTATTTTATATGATCTTTAGGTAAGCCCGTTTGATATAGCTACCAGTTTTTCAACAGCAATCTGTCAGGTTTTAAATAGATCGCCGATCATCAATATCTTTGAAATAGATCGTATAATTTTCAAAGCAGCGTCACATTATATTTGCATTAATTACTTTCATTGCTTGGCAAAGAATGTATGATAGAACAACATCTATCGGAGCTGCTAGCGTTTTATAAAAGTTGCACTCACTTCACTCTAGTATAAATGAAATTGCAAAGTAAACAACCTAACATCATAACATATTCAATAAAGTAGAGGATATAAAATCAAGGCAGGCTATCACAGTCCTCTGATGAACATAGGCCTGTCCCAAAAAAAATGAAGAAGCAAAAAACAATTCATAATCCTTATGTGCCTAAGATGACAAAATAGACATAATTTATGTTTTTTTGTCATAGTTAAAGGATTGAGCAATTTTTAAGAGTCTTACAATATATATTTAAAAGCTTGGAAATAAAAGTTTTTTAAAAATTTATTAAACATTATCTTTTAATAAGATATAACCTATTAATTTATTAAACTGAATAATTTATACAACACAGAAGTTGCAAAATATTATGACATGATAATTTAAGTAACGCTAAGAACATAAATATCGAACACTTTTGCGAGTATTCATATCAATGAAATTAATTATTTTTTTTTGATGACTACGTAGTAATTCGAAAAATATTAATATCATTAAAATCTTATATACCATTTGAAAGTGAGAGATTTTTTTTAACTTATATATTTGCTTACAAAGCTTGAATGAAAGATTATTATTGGTCTGAATATGCGAAATTTCTATTGTCAAATCATCGAGTGTACAATATACAATACCTATTCAGTCTTGTTGAAAATGATACATAATCAAAGGTAATTAAATTAGCCGTCAAATTGTCTCAGTAATGTTAACCACAGGGTATTTCATTACCTATAGGTATTGCTAGATATACCTGCTACTGCAACATAACTCGTGACAGCTGAAGAGACTTGAACCTTCTTAAATCTTTTATATTGATAAAATCAACGACCGAACTGGTGAGTTTGAGTTACACTTTTTTTTCATACTTTCTAAAATTAAATTAAATATTTATATGCCAAAATAAATTAATAAATGCACATTAATTATGCTATCAAGAGGTAATGAACACCTCACAGATTTTTTTTTTCACACACTTTTATGCTGCAATAATGTTTATGATATTTTTTTAAGATCAGATATTCCAAATGCCAAGTTACATAGTAGGAATTTAAAAAATGAAATTTCAAATTTCATAAAGGTCAGATATATAGAATTAATAAATTATATACTATTAGAGTTGTTTTAGTAACATTTACAATAAATGAGACACCCTTGTCATCCAATCAGTGCGGTCCAAAATCACACAATTACTCTAAATAACCTCAAACATTTATCAATTAGATTACATCCTAACCAAACATAACAATCACTAACGAGGGTCTGTTTCTATGTTTGTATATGTTACATCTTGATTAACCTTTTACTAAGATGTTTTGTACAAAACAATACCGTAATTATTAAAAAGAATTTATACCCAGTACATAGATTTCCTAAAGGATTTCACTCACTTAAAGTATAAATAAATAACTTAATGATTAAAAAAACATATTGATATTTTTTTCTAAACAACAAATGCTTTGCAATGTGTGGTTGTAAGCGTGAAATGGAACCGTAGTTTAAATAGAATCAACAAGCTCACTTTTCCAACAACGCCTGCAAAAAACTATCAAAGCAAAACTAATTAAACTTCTCATTCCATTTCAAAAGACTTGTTTGTATATCGCGTTTAAAACAATTAAAGTGCTCAAAACAATGTGAGTTGAGCTCTGAAAATTCACTCTTACGTAGATAAATCAAAGCAGTTTAATTTAAAAAATTTCATATCGGTAGTAGTGAAGACTTGTAAGCGAGTTTATTGGACAGGAGCATGCAAAATTAAAGCCCTGTTGGCTCCGGAGGTAACAGAAGCAAACACTTTGTTGCAGCTGCGTGCTTCATTTAAACTTGCTAGCTACTCGCACTATATATTTTTAAATAAATAAAATTTAATATTATCATTAAGAAATTAATATAAAAGACTAACTAAACCCTTCTAAACTTTATTATAAGAATAATAAATTAAACATTCAGAGTATATTTATGATATAGGTTCATTATTTGTTAACAGCTTGCTCGTAGTTGCATAAATAAATTAAGTCAAGCGAGGCATGTCTGCTGCTCTATCTCGTCCTCTCATAGTTATCGGGAGCACAAAGAAGCACAAAGGTTGAACACCTTTCTGTGTTAATACCAGTCTCTGAACTACATTGTCTGAACCCGACGGCCCTTTCTTGATTAAAGTTTAGACAGCGGAGAAGCTTTTAATTTATCTATCTGTTGTTATAGAGTTCTGTGAAATCTTTATAATTAATTTCCTCGGGAACAATTTATATTTTTTTTTTTATTTAAATTATTTTAATTTGTGAGTGTTATTTAAAATCAAATTAAACATTATTTAACTTATTGAATTATGTAATTTTTAATAGAAATAAAGAAAAGCAATTATAAAATTACACAAAGATTTTGTCGCAAGGCTAAAAATCTTGAGTTATAAGAAAATTTAAAACTGTAATTACCATAGCTCTTACATTTCAAAGGAAAAACTCAAGCACATACCGCTTCAAAGAAAATAAGGTAACGAATAAATACTGTTTCAATAGTGTTTAAGCTTCTCTGTTTTTAATGAGAAATGATGGTACTTAAAGTTATATAACGGGTGATGTCGTGAATATTAACGAGGTACGAATATATATTTCATTATGATGAAGAAAATATGTCTGTTTTGATGTCTTTAAATATGACGTGTTTACGAAGTCGCTGTGACAGAACGTGATGGGAATATTACGTTAACTTGACACGCCACTGCGACTTGATCTTCGTTAGATGAGGCAGTAACTTGCTAAGATGTTCCTTGTTTGTCCTCATTACTTTTGGGAATGACTTTTAGCAATTATTCTTTATTAACGAGAATTAATTTGATGGAAAATTAACTCAGTAATTTATAGTGCTATGCGATCAACTAAGTCTTCGTGTATTAAAAATTCTTTCGCTAACTAATTTCCACTACTTTCAGCTCAATAAGTACCATATCAAAGATGGGATGTAATAAAAACCGTGAAAATTACATCAAGCCAGTCTAGCCTTAAAGACAACATGACTAAGAACGTAAATCCAGTGAATTTGATCATCCCCGGGTTGTATTTTATACGCACCTATAAGCAATCACGAACATTCTTTGAGAGTAAAAAGAAATTATGCTGTAGGAAAATAGGACCTAAAGCAAAGGCGAAAGAGTAAGATTTATATAAAGTAAGGATGTATTCACATGGTCGTCATTTAATGATGCCGTGGACGGTATGCTTTGATCTTGTTTGTGGCGCGTGGTACAAGTTTTGTTCTCTTTTTTAAGAGTTACATGAACTGCTCTAAAAAAGAACATCGTTTGCTAGCATTTTATTTTCTTAAATGACTTTTGCCTTCAAACTCGTTCATCATGATCTTTTTCTTTTATTTAAATAAGTTTTTCTGTTAATTTTTTTTTAATTTTTTTAGGTAATACTATACGATTTTCTGATCGATTTAATATATGTATATTATTTGAGAGACAATTAAAACCATTATCAAAAATGATGTTTAGAAGATTTACTAGTTTTGAAAGCGTAAGTTTTAATTCAAATAACGAATATTTATAATTATCAATCATGATTTATTTCTGTGTAATTGCTGCATATAATATTTTCCCCGCTCCTAACTTTTACCGATCACCAATAGCAAAACTTATTCGATAGTTGCGGTTTGTATCAAAGAACTGAACTTCGTAGCAGTTCGGCAACATTCGTACAAGTTCGGGAGTAATGAGATTCTTCTTTGATGAGTTTCTTTTAATAATGAATAGCTACGTGTAATCAGCCTTATTAATCTTTTTCAGTAATTTCTATATGAGTTAATTTGACAGCTGTAATACAATATTTTGTATGCTTTATATCTCATCTTCCAATGTAGATATATCACTTTATATAAGCCAAAGCCAAAGTGCCATAAAATCTCTTTAAGCCTTCCGTGGTTTATTTTCAAACAAGATAATTACTAAACACTATAAAGTAATCATTACATATCTATGATAAACTATTTATTATTATATATGCTTTTATATAGACGTATACGTATACGTATATACATACGTATAATATTATTGTTCATATATATGTGTTGTCATGACTATTTACATATGTAAAACTATTATTAATTAAATCCTTCAGATAGATTTCACGATAAGAGGATCATGTCATTCACAGTTCATTACGAAACATATATTGTTTAAAACGTATATATATACATATGTATATTATATAAACTGTAATATACGACATTTAAAATGTTCACGTTTTAAATTTCCATTGAAATATTCATTTACCATACATTTTTCTCTATTCCGTGTAATGTTTATTCCTTAGTGCCAATAAATCTTTGAACACAACATGTTTTGCATATCACTTTCTATTCATGAACTCTTGTTGTAAGCTTTGAAATGTATATTTTATGTTGAGAACTTAAATGAATTGATGGATTTAGGGAAGTTTTTACATAGAATAATACTGTAGATCGACTTATATTATAATGCACATATAAATATTATTTGTTTTAAAGATTATTCCTTTGTATACATTCTATACTGATACTTTGTGGTCTTTGTTAATAGAAAATTGGAATAATGCAAATTACTATAGTTTCTAATATGGAGTAAAGAAAACAAAATTGAAGTAAAATAAATACGTAACGTTATATTATTAGAACAGTGAAAATATAAAAAGTACTTAGAGAAACAGAAAAATATTCAAATCGACGACATAATTTGGTATAAAAATATTCGTTAATATAAAAATAGCCGTTGTATGAAATTAAGCAATTATCCTCATTCCACCTCTACCCTTTATGAGATTGAAACCCACGGCCAAATTAGATATAGACCTTTTTATGAACCACTGCTTTGGAAAACGGTTTTCAAATAAAATGACATCTCCTTAGGCAGCTTGGACACGAAAAATTTTATATACTATTTTAATTCTGACATGTTTTTCAAATGTATAATATTTTTATACTTTATTCTGATGTTTTAATTTTTACCATTTTTAGTGTATATATATATATGAAATATTACACTCTTTCATGTATGGTTAAATACTAAAAGATTGTTCGTGTGTCGTAAGCCGATACAAAAATATTATCTCTACAGTTTTATTCACATATCCCTGATCCGTACAAATTTAACAAATTCCGCTTAATTTAAAAGGACCGTTTCTGAACATTTAAAAAACTCATTTCCCAAATCGAATACATTTTACTTTGATGTACATTAACACGCTTTTATATGGTGTTTATATGAATAAATGGATTTTGGTACTTTTGGGACAGATAACATAAATGTGATAATTCCGAAGAGTTTATAAATTTGCTGGTTAAAATGTTATAGCTAATCTATACATTCTTTTATTTTATATTAATATTACAAGTGAGTTTATTTCTTAAATATCTGATAAATTTGGCATCGTGTTTCCTATAAAGAAATCGTTTTATTTTCTTACAATAAAAATTGTGGAGGTGCCAAGAGGATGCACAATTTTCTTACAAGAATCTAGTCTGTCTTCGGTTTCTTTTGCAACTTAACTAGGAGAAGTGTCGCCTGATTCAACTAATACAGTGTATCAATAATATGACTTCTTAAAATTGCAATTAATATGTCCGTTAAATGAATACAGATATAATAATAAAGAAAACCTCTGAGAAATATCTATTTACATAATATAAAGTTATGGTTTCCGTATATACTATGCGACACAGTGTTCACGGTCGCTGTAAAATACTCAAAACATTAGGAAAAATGTAATATTTAATCGAGTTCTACCTAATATATAATAATAAAGCTACAAACTATTGAAAAATATTTCAGCAATGAAAGCAAAATGGTGAAGACGTGCCACTTATCTTTATAAAATAGTATTCATTAGAATTTGTCCAATTGACGTTTCTTCCTCTTCACCCACTTCCATTGGTATAACTCAAGTTGGTGGCCCAATTCACATTACGAACGACTCAGTATAAAATTTGGTTTCTATAGAAATGTATACATTTGAAAATATAGAATTATAATTTGAACAACAAGCAGTTGCTTATTTAAATTTTATTTTCAGGGAATATACAGATAAAAAGATTTGTTATTTGTTTATTTCATATAGTTGGTGAAGATTTGGGTAAGTTATTTCGAAATAAATTATATAAAAACCATATCAATAATGAAAATGTCAATGAAAAGCTTGACTTGGCTAAAATGGTTTAATATAATTCATATACGAACAAGAATGTAACGCTTATAATATTAGTTTGAGGCGTTTTAACTTATTATCCATAATTTGATAATAATTGAATGTTCTATATGAATGAATTCATTAACTTTTTCTTTTGTTCTTTAAGGTTCTTGTCATGACAACTAAACAGGAGAAGCTTGAGTCAAGTAATACTCAAGAAACAAATGAAGGCAATGAGGGCTGAGTCACTGAAGGTTCTACGGATACTAACCTTCCGTTCGAAAACAAAAGGTAGTTTGGTATCACAAACACTGGATGTGCCTTGTTGTGGAACTTAATTTTTATTTCATGTTTAGAAGGCACTTGGAATTATAACTATAGAAATTATATAGGATGAAAATTGTAATTTTCAAATGTATAATAATAAATAAGATATTGAAGTTTCACATTTTATTTGACATCAAAAAAATCTAGAAGCTTCAAGGATAAGAAAACATACTGTTGATAGCAAGTCAATTTAATCTATAAAATAAAACTCCAAGCACATAGTTATTGATATCTTGACGTGGAATAAATATTACCTTATCATTTTGTACAGGATATTGAGACATCAGATCTTCCAGGAAATTATAACGCTTCCATATTCCAACATCCTTGGCGTCTTGAAGGTAGAATTGAAAATCACTTAGTGTATAAGGATCGCTTTGAAGCAAAATGGGGATGCGTTGCACGATTGCTGTTACAGCGAATTGTAAATGGGTCAATTTCTTATGAGAGTTCTGTTTTTAGTATTGTTTTTATGGGATACTTGAAATAATATCTGAATTATTCTATTATGAAGACAATTTTTATAATACATTTCTTTTCGTGCAACTTTCAGTCATTATGCTGTGGTCATAGGTGGTTGAAAAATGCAATTAATGGAACACATATAAATATGGTTACATTGAATACTGATATAAAATTCATGGAAGATTAGTCTTAAAGAAATTGTGAAAGAATAAAAACTGTTATTAAGATGGATTATTTGTAAGGGATTTCAATAAAGAAACGACGAAATTGAAACTTCGGTGATCGGTAATCGTATAAAAGTATCTGTTTTAAGATAAAATGGTCTTCAGTAATTTTGGAATTAATATTGGTTCTTTCTAAGCGATATCTATAATCTCCTTAACGATTTCACAGTACTTTCTTAGACATATTTATTTGTCACCTAAATAATTTGATATACATATACAACAGAATTAAACCATTTTTTGGATTTAATTTGCACCTCAAACGATTACATACAGATTGCTATTATACGAGTAGAATGCAAATTTAAATACAGCTTGCTGTTACTTGTTATTCTTCTAAAATTTGTGATTTTAAAAGATTCTTGATCATCTTGAAGGTGTAATGATAACGAAATTATAGAGCATAATTTGAGTAAAATCATCGAAGTTGACTTTATTGGTAAATATACATAATTGTTTTTTATTACTAGCATTCCGCCGGCAGCTTCGCCCGCGTGGATTTCGGTTTTATCGCGTTTCCAAGAGAACCTTTTAAAAGTCTGGGATAAAAAAAATTATCCTATGTTCTTTCTCAAGGTCAACTCTATCTCTGTACCAAAATATATTAAAATCAGTTAAGTGGTTTAGACGTGAAACCGTAACAGACAGACTGACAGAGTTACTTTCGCATTTATAATATCAGTTGGGATTACGTGATTAATTGTCATTTACATTCTTTTTTTCAAATATTATATACTTTTGCAATTCTTTGTTGTAAATAAATATTTATTTTTAAAACGGAAGCAATGTACCCGAGAGCCTCCAGGAACGCGTTCGTTCCCATCCGCTTGTCCAAACAAGACATGATATTGCGTCCAGGTTTTGCTACTACGGAAGTTGTATGCGAAAATTTAAATGGATTTTTGTTTCGCTAAAACTACAAAGAGAATCCTTTAAAAAAACTGGAACGTACAACGTAAATAAACAGTTTTTTTGAATAAAAAAATATTTTAAAATATATATTTAAAGTTTGTTATCGTAAGAAAAAATTCAGAGTGATACCCTTTAAATATAAAAAATGTATATATTTTTAATTTCGTACAAAAAGTATAATCATGACCCTTAATGCACAAAGGGAGATCTGAATAGAGAATACCAAAGTCAACTCATTACCTAAAAACACTTAATAAAATTAAAATGACGAAACTTTAAGAACGTTTCAAATTAGGAAAAGTTATATTAAATACAATGGGGGAAAACTTTTTAATTAAAGCTGTATTGACGTTGAATCTGGGAAGATGGATGCCAATCAAACTTGATCAATATTAACATTATTGAAATACTTAAAATTTGTTTAAACCTGGTTAATTATAAATCAATTGGATTTTAAATTCTATAATTTTGGTATTTAAAAACATTTTATTGAAACCATGATGGCAAAAAGAAAATTTTTCTAGTGTCATTTTTGTACGTACTTTAGTTATCATTAAAAATATGCAATGGCTTATGATAAAAATCAAAGGAAAAGAAAATAAAATTAAGTAACGATTTTTTGTGCATCTGTGCGGATGGATGGGGTACGATTGACTTGTCAGTGATTTGCAGCCCACAAGACACAACTATATATTGAAGAAAAAAATCTCCTGATTACTACTCTAAAATCTATTTCTATTATTCTAATGGACAAAGTACATACAGTATTTTATTATTTTTGAGCTGAATAAAAATATGTATATACATATTTTAAACTGTTAATATTTTATATCAATATGGAAGTTTACATATCAAATTCGTCACATTTTACTACACTTTAAAATAATCGTGTTGAATCACTTTTCTTAATCAATTTTCTTCTGTATTTCTCCTCTGTCCAAATTATCAATTAGGACTTACCTTTTCTTTATCTAGATTTTTGTCGAGGTGAAAATTTTACAATTTCTGATTTAAGTACTCTTAAAATTCATTCATTTACAATCCTCATTGCACACGAGCCGATGCTCCTGCAGCCTTACCAATTAATTTATTAATATTAATATTAACTTCGTGTTCTATACTATGCCTATCAGCTTTTCGTTTTAGAAAAAATAATATTAACATAGTAAATAATCTTCTTCACTCGTGAAGATATTGGAAGACCCATCACAGGATATTATATCATGTGCGTTAAGAACAAATAGTTAAGTTGACATGTGTTTGCCTCGCCGGTCCCGCATTCGCTAGAAGTTGATTTAGGAAGAAGACTCTAATATATGTTAATAATATAACATAGGTCTTTATAAGAGAAGGAATTATAAGATATGACATAGTGAATTCTCAAAACTGACGCGTATTTATAATGTAAGGGTTAGTGACACTTCAGAAGAGATCTATACGATATGAATTGTAGAATATTAAATCATGATATTGTATGTGACTTATTCCTCAAAACGTAAATTATGTTCATCAAAATTAAGTTCATTTTTAAAGTGATGAGTAAATAACACACAGAATCCAAAATAAATTTTAAATTGTCTGTTAAATTGTTCCTTAAAAGGCTTACCAGACTAACGTCTTTTTACCGGCATTTTATGACCTAACATAGACGACATTCGTATAAGTATTTTAAAATATGTAAACGGTGAGATAAAGTGAATACAAATTCACGTCTAGGTACTCATAAATATTATATCTACCTTAACGGTCCAGTGAAATACAAAAACATGATCTTGAGAAAGAAATGAATAAATTATAAAGGGTCGCAACTTGAGGTTCCAGGAAAACTACGAAACTTACTTATATTATAATGAGAATTACATATGAACACTTATAATCTATACCTAAGACTACATGATTGCCCCGACGCGATGTTAGGATAGCAATGGCTTTCCATTGCTTGTATTGTATCAGGAATCTTCTGGTTCATGCGGCTTGGTGTTCGTTCCGCGGAGTCAGCGGCGTCACTCGATATATGATATTTTACAGATACAAATATGTCGCCCCGATGATTTTCATTTATTTTTTAATATGTAGGACATACGTAACATATTTATAAGCTGTAATTGCTACTTTCATACGAAAACGGCCGATTTAATTATGAGAAATCCAACAACTTATCGCCCCTCTGATCGAACGATCTGTATTACCAATTTTCATATCACTTAAGTTCGTTAATTGACATGAATTAATAATACAAGATTTAAATGCTCTGCCATACAACGTTGTTGTGTTAATTGAGAAGCTTATCGCTATAGCAACTGTCGAGTATATGAATGAATTATAACCAATCCATAATAATTATATCATTCTACAGATTTAATAGTTACAATTGTAACCAAGACAAATCTATGCATACGATCTGAGAAGCATTTTAAGATACTTATCTGTCAATGTATATAAACTTTTATAATAAAATATTATGTTTATATTATAAATAAATATATAAGTGTTCAATAAAATAGTTATTTCATTTAAAGAAAATTACATAATTAAGACAATATGGTTTTATATCGTTATAAATATTTATATACCAATTAAATATATTCTAATACGAACCCTAGTAATTAACTTAAAACATTCACTTGTATAGACAAAATATTAAAGGTCACAACCCACTCAGACCGAGATGAATCGTCGTTTCTCAACTCTATCAGAGTAACAAAACATATTTTAAATTACCCTGAGTACTTGTGAGCAAGCGCGCTAATCCCCAAAATAACTGCAAATGGGCTGTTGTGTATTTCCATTGACGAACGATATGTTTATTTATTTTTATATTAAAACGTGAATGGTTATTTTGCTTCTATTTTTCATTTTGCAGTGGGAGATCTGCAGCTATCTATCCTTAGCGAAAATCTACGATGTCAAACTTGGTAAACGGGGCTTTTCGTTTTTTTTTTCATAAACTATCACGCATATTAACATCAATGTAGTTTCAGGAATTAATAAATTAAAACGCTCTGTAATAAGTGAATCGACGCAAAACTTGTGGCAGGTCTCACAATGGTCGTTATGGTATATCCCCATGTCATAAGTCATCACATCTATTTAGATCGGTACATCTATTATGGTATCGGCAACCCATTTCTCCATATATGATTGTCTTCATAAATGACTGTGTTGTACATAAAAGAAGAGAAAAAGAAAAATTAGCTTTATAGACTTAACGAGAACAGCAGAGCAGCTCTTTCATTCAGTTTAGTTTATTTTTTGAAAAATGCATAAAAGAACCATCGAAGAAAGCCTTGACGCTATCAGGGCGGGTACATACTATATCAACAAAGTCTTGAAGTCTTTTACCTTTTGGGTGAAAATGAAAAAAATATGTTTCAGGATAGAAAACTATTATTGAGTTTGTCTTAATTAATTTTTCTTACTTTAGCCAATACATAAGCCGAATATTGCATACACAATCTTCATTAAATGAAGCAAGTGGAAAGCTATACTGGCGACTAAAGTCATTCATTCATGGAGATGATCTCGACAAGCGAATTCATGACACAATCAATAAACTAATCTGTGCATTAGAATTTAAAGATTCTCTAGTATTTTAATGACTTAGCACACTATAAATAAATTATTCTTTTTAGAAACAAAAAAACTTACAGAATGAAATGATAATAGTAAAGTTAATTAAAGCTAAAAGAAACTAAAATCGGATGTTTCTGGACTAAAAGAAATATACGTTACCAAAAAATCACAATATATTATTGGAGGAGGCACATTTTCCTTTCTTAACGCTAAAAAAAATTATGCATATCCTTGCTTCCAATATGAGTCAGCATGGTCACGTA